CTATTAAATAGATGGGTTCTATGGTTTTCTTTAAAAAAGGGGTACACACCCTGTCGTTGTTCCCTGCAAAATGCACACACACATGCACATGCACACGCACACGCACACACACAAGCACTCGCACTCACACTCGCACACACACACACTCATACACTCATGCACACACACACACACACACACACACACACACACAAGGCAACCAACACTCATACACTCATGCACGCACACACACACACACACACACACACACAACACACACACACACACACACACACACACACACACACACACACACACACACACACACACACACACACACACACACACACACACACACACAATATCAATTCTACTTCGTAATTCAATAGGTAACATTAAGAGAGACATATTTTCTCTGTTTGATCTCGGCAATCCAAAAAACTGTGGAATGTGAACTATGAGGAAAAAAAGCAAAGGATAAAACTATCTGGATTCTCAAGAAAGATAAACAAAAGTTTACTTCCATCACACTGAATTTTTTTCTCCAGTAACCTTTATAGGATTTTTCTTTATCAAATTTCCCTCACTTTTTAATTATAATATACTTGTTAAAACTGCACTACACAGCATCTTATGAAAAATCATGTTTCAAATTAACTAATAAAAAAAAAAAAAAAATGTTACAACTAGATTCCACCAAAAACACTCTTCTCCTAAAAAAAAAATAAATAAATAAATAAAAATGTGAATAAAAAAAAATCCATTTTCCATCTTTTACCCAAAATGCAGTGGAATGTCCCTTTAGGAATATACACACAAAAAGAATCAAAGTCACCACCTCCTAGAAATAAAGATAAAGAGAAGCAGAAAGATGGAGATAAAAAGAAGAAAATTAGAACATAGAGGTGAAGGTATTTTCATAAGGCAATGCAAAATATTAGCTCCTCTTGGTTCACACACTAAAAAGCACTAAAATGCTCACAACTATGCAAGTCCAGGTACTTTATCGTCATTTGTATACTTCTGAATGGAGTAGATAATAGGGAACTGGCTTTAACATGAAGCTTTTACAGACCCAGCAAAGTCACAAATGACTCTACGTCTTCTAAAGTCATCAAGCTTAAGAAAACTCTCAGGTTCACACCAAATCAAGGCATTAAACCTGCAGTCAATCATTTTGGGTGAACAATATCTGTAAACACAGGTTAACCATTATCTATTAGTCCACAGAAAACTGAGCAAGATTCAAAGACTCACCTCTTGCACATTAAAACCACGTCTGTCATTTCTGCAACAGAGTCAACGCAATTTTTCCGCCTTCCTTTTCTCATTTTTACTTACAGTTTCCAATGACAAACCATTTCCATTTCTTAATCTCACTCTTTTATTTGTTTATTTGTTTCTCCAAACTTTCAATTCTCCCCCATACCACCAATTAGCCATAGTCCAGTTGGTGTCACACGTATCTGTCGAGGTGCTGCTGGAAGTTTGTGAGGTAGATCACTAGCTCATCTACAGTGGGTCTCTCCCGTGGTGCCGTTGTCCAGCAGAAGGTCATGGCCTTGAATCTGTCCATCAAAGTTTACCGGTCAGTTAGTATAGCATAAAAAATTATACACATTTAAAACTTCAAAAATATGTTCACTGTTTTCTAAAAAAATGTGATAAAATGAGAAACTTCCACCGTAGACTAGGACTAACAGAAAACATTACATTTCAAACTTTAAATCACTAAAATTATTAAAATGAAGTTAACTCTAGTTCTGCTCAACCTTTATTAAATTCACTTGTTTCTTTAAACCTGAAAGCCTGAACTAGATCTCACTCTTCTAACAACTCATTTAATTCATAGTGCTTCATTATGCTACACGAGGAACTTGGTTACAGCTTTGGCATTGTATCATTAGTGTAAGTTATAGAGCTACAATATGCCCACAACTGTGCCATAGGTAACTCAACCCAGTCTTTACAAAGCTAACCTATCCTACTACTTACTTACCTACCATCCCTTCCATTTCCTTTCCTTCCTTTTCATGTCATGTTAAACTGTACCTCCCTCAAACAGATTTGCCATAGTGTTAATCAGACCAAAATGCACAGTTACAAAATATACCACAGCAACAAATATTTATTCTGCATAAACTTGGCTTGCAATAAAACTGTGTAGGACAACAGAGAAACTGATTTCAAGAACATTAATAATCCCCTTTGGTTCCTTCAAACCAACCAGTCAGTATTTACTCCATGAATGAAAGTAATGTCAAATTCTATTTCAGCTTCTGAATTTCAAAATCAAGCATTCTCTAGCACAACTATAAGGGATGGTGAAAAGACAGTCCACCTCTTTCACACAATAAGTGACTGCAAAACTGTTAACACATACCAACATTACTGACAAAAACTGAATAATATTCAGAACAAGACAGTCCACTATTAACCCCTCAATGATAGTATAATAAATATCTCAGTGTCGCTGACTCTAGTAACTTCTGGCAACCATCCAGTCGTTTGTGTTTGAGTTCGCCACATGTCGCAACACCTATAGCCATACCCTGCATGATGAGTTGGTTTGCTATGTCAGCTATAGGCATGTCCCGGCAGATACAGGTTAATAGCACTACTATATTAAAAACCAAAAACAATACGTAAAACATGCCCAATACTTACAGCTCATCAGGGCAGTTTATAGGCTGTGCAAGGCGAACCCCTTGGCGAAGAACAGCAGACATTTCGAAGGGATCTATTTCTGCATAAGGCTGCTGGCCAAGAGTCATCACTTCCCACAGCAGAACACCCCATGACCACTGTGGGTAAAAATATGAAGTTATAATATGCAACCATAAATGACTGACATGTTGTAAATACAAACACTTTCTACCCTCTAGACCTTTCTACCCCGTTACTTGCTTCTTGAATTCTCTCATTAAGAGTAGATCTCCAAGAAATAAAATTATTAAAAGAATAGTAAAGCCAAAAAAATGTGGAATACACACAGTCATACTAATTTATCTGAACATTAAAATAAGCTTGGCTGAATTTAACATGAACACCAACAAATCTTTATTGAAAATAACACACACGCACACACTCACACACACACACACAACACACACACACACAACACACACACACACAACACACACACACACACACACAACACACACACACACAACACACACACACACAACACACACACACACAACACACACACACACAACACACACACACACACCACACACACACACACACAACACACACACACACACAACACACACACACACAACACACACACACACACAACACACACACACACACACAACACACACACACACAACACACACACACACAACACACACACACACAACACACACACACACACCACACACACACACACAACACACACACACACAACACACACACACACACACAACACACACACACACACAACACACACACACACAACACACACACACACACAACACACACACACACAACACACACACACACACAACACACACACACACACGCACACACACGCACACACACGCACACACGCACACACACGCACACACACGCACACACGCACACACGCACACACGCACACACGCACACACGCACACACGCACACACGCACACACGCACACACGCACACACACGCACACACGCACACACACGCACACACACGCACACACGCACACACTCACACACACACACACAACACACACACACACAACACACACACACACACACACGCACACACACGCACACACGCACACACGCACACACGCACACACGCACACACACGCACACACGCACACACACGCACACACGCACACACGCACACACGCACACACACGCACACACGCACACACACGCACACACACGCACACACACGCACACACGCACACACGCACACACACGCACACACACGCACACACACGCACACACGCACACACGCACACACGCACACACACGCACACACTCACACACACACACACACAACACACACACACACAACACACACACACACACAACACACACACACACACCACACACACACACACAACACACACACACACAACACACACACACACACAACACACACACACACACAACACACACACACACAACACACACACACACACAACACACACACACACACACACACAACACACACACACACAACACACACACACACACACACACGCACACACGCACACACACGCACACACACGCACACACGCACACACACGCACACACGCACACACGCACACACGCACACACACGCACACACGCACACACACGCACACACACGCACACACGCACACACGCACACACGCACACACTCACACACACACACACACAACACACACACACACACACAACACACACACACACAACACACACACACACAACACACACACACACAACACACACACACACAACACACACACACACAACACACATACACACACTTACACACACGCACACACGCACACACGCACACACTTACACTCACACACACACACACGCACACACACGCACACGCACACACACGCACACGCACACACTCACACACACACACGTATATATCTATATGTATGTGTATATGTATATATACATATACATATTTATGTGTATATATATCAATATATCAATATATCAATCTATCTATCTATATATATATGCATATGCATATGTATATGTATATGTGTGTGTGTGTGTACACACACACACACACACACACACACACACACACACACACACACACACACACACACACACACACACACACACACACACACACACACACACACACACACACACACACACACACACACACACACACACACACACACACACACACACATATATGGCAACCAACACCCTCAGCCACCAACCTGGCACCTAACATTCTCAGTCAGGTATCTAGCTCTCTCAGCTTGGCACCTATGTATACCAACTAGTACCTAATCCTCTCAGCCAGGCAACTAACTCTCCCAGTCAAGTACTTAATTCTCTCAACAGGCACTTAATCCTCTCATCCAGGCACCTAAGACTCTCAAGTCAGGATGTCTCTCAAAACCAAGGTATATACAAATGATGAAATATTTAACCCTTACTCTGCAATGTTTTGAAATTATAGAATAAAGGATATGCCTATGCATATTATTGGTAAAAGAGAAAAAAATGGGAAAATCTACTCTCACATGACATGACAGATGCAGAAGCACTCAGAATTTTGAAAAACAAACAACGATGATAAAAACATTTTAATGTTTCTCATATAGTTCACTTGACTGTGCACCAAAAAAATAATTTTTGTGCATCATCTCTTTCCTTTCTCCCATAAAATAGCAGAATTATGAACTTACATAGTGGGTAGGGGGATGTAAACCTAACTTAACCATATCCCTCCCAAAAGCATTTTATCCCTACTTGACACCAGGAATTCAACTGGTTTAACTGTAAACTTCATCTCATTACTTACATGACATTTTTTTTAAGTACTATTATCATTACTCTTATTGTTACTGTTATTATTATTATGGCTGATTCTATAATTCCTATAATATTCTTAAGACTATTAATAGTAATATTTTTTTTCTGAATTATTTCCATTAATCAGTAAAAGGGATAAACAGGTGAGATTAAGTAGACTGGTAACTGACTCCTTGGTGACTGAGCACTTCTGGAGCCATTTATATATATAAAGGAAATTATAAGCATCAATAAGCATCAATGATTCTCATCTTCAGCCCATTATCCACAACCAAAATTTAGTACAAACATTTACAAGCAGCTATGTATAACCAATTCACCTTTTGAGATTTCCTTGCGAAGACCTTGGGAAGATAATGCATGGTGGAGCTTCTGGCGGTGTGACGACTGCTCCCAGAACCCCTAACAGCTGGTCATGGTTTAGGCCTGCTAACATCACCCCTTCACTCAGCAACACTGATCGCTGCACCTCACTCGATCCATCTGTTTCAAGTAAAAATGATAACATTATATTCTTGATACTCAAAAGAGAGACTAGTTTCTTATAAAATCTGTACCCTTGTTTAAACATCCATTAGGCATGGTAATACTTCAGAATATTATTAAAAAAATAGAAGGGCCGATTAGCATTCTTTTCAGAGTCCAAGGACAAAAAAGGAAACATAACAGCTGTATACTAGAGAAAATAATTTTAAATGGTAAGTTATAAGCTTTAGCAATGAGATAAAGCTGCAATGCATAAAAAGCTCTATCAATGGAACCAAAAAATATTTTCTGTGACTGAAAGGACCTGGGTGAATTTTCTAACATGAAGAAATTTAAAAAATATGAATTTTTGATATTTGTGTCCTTTTTTCTCACAACTAACACAAAATGATTTTTGAATGGTTGTGTCTTGAGAAAGCCATCTAAGGGTAAAAAAATGGAGCTATGTAAGTCACTTTTTGCAGAAGCCAAGAACATAGTGCTATTCAACATAGCTTTGATACATGAACTGCATGAGACTAAGCACATATTTTTCACTGAAAGAATGTAAGGGTAATAACTGTACTTTTACATTTATCTAGGTAATATAAAATCTTGCACTACCAATTCCACATACTGGTTAAATTCATATGATAACTATTTTTTTTTTAACTAAAATTTTCATATTCATTTCATTCATTTATGAAACATGCCTCCTATCTTCGGCTGCAAGGGACATGGAATATTGCAGATAACTAAACCCATAAGCCCATATGCACACAAGAACATACGCCCACATACCTACATACCCACATACCTGGGATCCCCCTGGGACAAGTATGTACATTCACTGCTCCTGATCACTCCCTAATCATGCATCTACCAGACATTACAAATTGCTTTCATCTAATCCTACACAATGTCAATAAATAAAAACATTTACATTACTAGTCATTACCATTTCCATGAAGCAAAGTCTATTTCATTTTAGGCAAAATACTCTGTAGTTCAAAAAGTTCAAAATAAAGCAAAAACAACCTATTTAGAAAAAAAGGATAAAAAAATCCACCCGAAAAAAGACAAATGAAAAGGAACTTACCAATGACTGTTTTTACAGTGACACTGAGGGGTTGCTTCTGGTCAGGGGGTTGGTAGACTGCATGGTACACCCTGCCAAAGGTGCCTTCCTGCTCCACCTCCAAGAGCTTGAGCGTCTCCTTGCTGACACTGAGACCTGTTAACTTGGCCGATATATCACCTGAATGAGACAAAGAAGGGTCTTAAGCCCAGTTCCATCAGCCCTGTTTCCAGAGCCTGGCTGCCTCGGTTCCCATTTAGGTTCCATTACATGACGTTCAACTCATCAAGGGCTGGCAAAGCTAGATTGGCCTCGTTTTTCATTGTGTTACAACTGCATAACAATATCAGACTTCTTAGATAATTATAGACTATATATCACACAAAAAAATATATATATCACACACACAAAAAAAAGTTTGATATGAGATAAGGACAACCATGCTCATGCTCACCTAGTTCCCTTGACAATGTGCCTAGGCTTCAGCAAAATGGCTATAATCCCATAACTAAGTCAAATCCATGAATCAAGGCTTGTTAAACTCTGGTTTTACTGAAGTCTACCAAGATGATGACACAATCCTAATGAAAAATCTAACCTTTTAAGAGTGGAGTTTGGTCCATCTTTTACTTTCTACTATATAAACAGCTCAAGCCTTTGGGAGGCATACGATTCAGAGTACATCACCAATGGAGGAATTAAAATTACAAAGACCCCTTAACAACTCTCCCTCAACTACCTCTTATCCCACTTACTCAGCCTGGGATCTGTGTACTGTGGCTCAGGACTGCCTGTAGTGGTGGTTGTGGTAGCTGTTGTATTGGTTGGTTGTGGAGATCTCCGTAGCTCACTGAGAGAGGACTGGGAGGTCTTGCCTGCGCCTCCACTGTCTCCGCTGACTTGATTATTAGGGACGTTTCCACCACTTGCTGTACTTCTGCCAATGGTTCTTTGCTCAGAAGCACCTGTGCCACGTCGTCTGCCATGAAAATAAGTATATTTAGGCACAATCCAGTTTTATGGCAGTTACCAAATATGATAAAGGTCCATAGAGAAAATTATCTATTCAATAAACACAACCTTAATCACATATATTCCAAAGATATTTTCAATCAAATATTTTGATCATTAACCACACTGTTTGGAAAGAACCAACACAAAATAAAGATCCTATTACATATTTCTCCCTTACCTGCCAGTGTTTGGCCGTGCTTTATTGTTCTTTATATGATTAAATATGGCGAGGAAGGCCACAACCAGAAGGAAGACTCCCAGACAACTAATGGTGATGTAGACCACAGTAGTGGAGTGTCGTGCTTCCAGAATCTCCACTGATATCCCACCAACTTCTCCTTCGCGTTCTGCTATTCCACCAACTTTACCTGTACGTGGTAGATAATTGTAATCCCTTTAATGCAAAGTTTGAACTTTAATTTACATATATTCAGGAAAATATATAATTTACCTTTTCTCATTGGAAACATGTCACTGCTTCTAATATTCAGATATTTGGAGCCTACATAAGAACAATATTCCTAAGGAATCCCTAAAGATTACAAGCCCTCAGTCCACCTTACCCCTTAGCCACTAATAACATCAAATTTTCCTTTTTCACCTGGGGATAAATCTGGTATTTAATTTTTGGAGAGCTCTATTTTACTTACTAGAAAAGTATGATTACTGGTTTATCAAATAGTTACTGATCATAGGAGTAATAGGAGTTAGAAAAATTACCTCTTCTATAGTGTGAAAATGGGTAAGATTTATATATATGCATAAAAAAATACAAAAAACAAAATGCCACAAAGCCACTGTGTGAAAGAAAAGAGGTTCTTATAAAATGCAACACTTGTAGTAGTAGTGTAGTAATAAGGTTTAATAGTCTCAATGGCTTGGAGAGGCATAGAGGGAGTACTGGTGGGAAGGGAAGTCAACCAAATACTAAAGAGAAGGCACAGAGCTTGGAAAACAGTTTGCTTGATGGGAACTGCTCAATAAAGGCTACTCTGATTTTAGGAGCTAATGTGTAATGAAACATTAATTGGATGAACACGCACCACGATGATGCTTCTGATCTCACTCACATTTTACCCTAATAAAATAAAACTTAATATATGTGTAACATTTAGGTTTGTCTACTGAATATGAAAACTCAGAATAAGATTTTATGTACATGGTGATGTGCAAGGAACAACCGTCCATTTATAACTGTTCAACCCAGGAACATACCCAACCAATTACTACATCGAAGGGAAATAAAATTCACTCAGGCTAAAGAAAAAGTGAAGTTCAAATTATATTTGGAGATCTACTAACCTCTCAAACATATTTTCTTTCTTCGAATGTTGAGCGTCGTTGTATTTACCAATGATGTACTCATTGGCACTTTTAAGGTTATTGTCACATCCACCTAAAAATAAGATATTTAAAATTCATGCATCAGATTATTTTTTTATTATGATAATCAGTTTTTTCATTTCTAATTTGACTTATTTTAGCAATGATGATTTTAACCACATTTTTGAGATGATGATTTAAAAGGTTATCATCAAGACTCATTCTAACTTTAATATTCCACTTTAAACTTTAATGATTATTCATTACTTTCACTTTTAATTTCTTCTTAAATTTGAGGCTTTCTGTGTGTACCACATGCATATGGAACGCCTCCCAGATGAAGAAGCTAGCGACCATATCTATCTGACTAATTTCCATCATGATCTTGTGCTACAGAAGATCTATACAACTAGCATGTTTTTAATTAGTAAATCAGATCAGATAAATTAATGGAAACACAAGTTAATATTCCAGAATACTTCTATATACAATAGAGATAACCATATTTCTATAAAATAATATGAAATATGAATGAAAAGGCTCATGTGATACCCAGGATCTCACTGCCTTAGTACTGTGATAGGGTCAGCCCATTTGCATAAGGAAAGTTCAAACAAAAATGTAAAAAGTGATGGAAAAAGTTCTAGACTTTAATGGTTTAGCAGTTCAGATTTACTCTTGTTAGACTGCCTAATTATTTTCTGCAGGCATGTATATGTCTGAAACTGATTATAAAACAACCCATATAATATCTTAGGTAATTTTTACCTCGCAAAAAAATACACAACGCATATAAACCACATCAAGAGAAAGAATCCTTTCTCTGCCACACAATATATACAAATACATACCTAAAACCCTAAGAGTAAACCAAATACTAAAGAGAAGGCACAGAGCTTGGAAAACAGTTTGCTTGATGGGAACTGCTCAATAAAGGCTACTCTGATTTTAGGAGTTAATGTGTAATGAAACATTAATTGGATGAACACGCACCACGATGATGCTTCTGATCTCACTCACATTTTACCCAAATAAAATAAAACTTAATATATGTGTAACATTTAGGTTTGTCTACTGAATATGAAAACTCAGAATAAGATTTTATGTACATGGTGATGTGCAAGGAACAACCGTCCATTTATAACTGTTCAACCCAGGAACATACCCAACCAATTACTACATCGAAGGGAAATAAAATTCACTCAGGCTAAAGAAAAAGTGAAGTTCAAATTATATTTGGAGATCTACTAACCTCTCAAACATATTTTCTTTCTTCGAATGTTGAGCGTCGTTGTATTTACCAATGATGTACTCATTGGCACTTTTAAGGTTATTGTCACATCCACCTAAAAATAAGATATTTAAAATTCATGCATCAGATTATTTTTTTATTATGATAATCAGTTTTTTCATTTCTAATTTGACTTATTTTAGCAATGATGATTTTAACCACATTTTTGAGATGATGATTTAAAAGGTTATCATCAAGACTCATTCTAACTTTAATATTCCACTTTAAACTTTAATGATTATTCATTACTTTCACTTTTAAAAAACATGACATTTAATAAAATATCTATTTATAACTAACATTACCTACAAAATTAAATCATTTATTAATACATAGCTATCTAAAACCACTTTTAAATCTATTATTTAAAAGAACCTTATTAGTGCCTTTGACTTCCTAACAAACACAAAAATTTAAGCTGCACCTCCTGACAACAGAGAGCATATAAGAGAACAGCTGCAGTTTACCTGAGTGGTTAGTTTGCCAGTGCAAATCAACCTTATTGTCCAGGATGAGGGATATGTTGGCACTATACTCTGATCACTGATGTTGTACACAGGGGGTGCCAGAGCTTCACGATTACCAACTTGAACTGACATATTATATGGCATCTAGGAAAAGAAAAGAGTAAATAGTGGAGCAGCTACATATATCTGGCAATCATGACACTTATGAACTACACTCAGTAACCCTTGGCAAAGATGCTATCCATAAAAAGAAGAATTACATCACAATTTCTTATGATAGAAAAAAAAAAAAATAATAATAAGATTGGAGATTTTCTTAATTTTTGGATATTATAGGCGCTCTAGTGTTTTGCAGCTCACTGGGTGCCCAACAGGGTCATTCAGAGAGATGTTTTACATAATCTTACACTTTTGTCATGTATAAACAAAAATTCCTTCTTAACTAATCCTTTGTGTTTTTCTCTATTGAAAAGTCTAATAAGGCAGCTAGTGACAGATGACCAAATACACCTTAGAAGCTTGCTGTGAGAGATCTGTTGTGATGTCACTGTTATCAAGGATGTTACCTTCATTTATATTTTTAATACAGCACCATTTCTCATACATATGAACTCTAAACCTATGTATATAATGCACATGATGAAACTGAATCTTATGTGCCAAATTTATATGAAAGAAATTTTAAAAATTTACATTTCTAAAATTTTCTTCATTTATTATAAATCATTGGGAGGATTCTACATCACAAACCCTATTACCTTCCTGTGATCCATATCAATATGTAATGTCAAAATGAAAGTCCTTTTCCCTCCAGTAAGTAATTAAAAGTAAAATTCTCTGAATAAACCTAAAAACCTATCTCACTTGTTCTTTTTCTGTAAATTTTTGAATTTCTTCTTAAATTTGATGCTTTCTGTGTGTACCACATGCATATGGAACACCTCCCAGATGAAGAAGCTAGCGACCATATCTATCTGACTAATTTCCATCATGATCTTGTGCTACAGAAGATCTATACAACTAGCATGTTTTTAATTAGTAAATCAGATCAGATAAATTAATGGAAACACAAGTTAATATTCCAGAATACTTCTATATACAATAGAGATAACCATATTTCTATAAAATAACATGAAATATGAATGAAAAGGCTCATGTGATACCCAGGATCTCACTGCCTTAGTACTGTGATAGGGTCAGCCCATTTGCATAAGGAAAGTTCAAACAAAAATGTAAAAAGTGATGGAAAAAGTTCTAGACTTTAATGGTTTAGCAGTTCAGATTTACTCTTGTTAGACTGCCTACTTATTTTCTGCAGGCATGTATATGTCTGAAACTGATTATAAAACAACCCATATAATATCTTAGGTAATTTTTACCTCACAAAAAAATACACAACGCATATAAACCACATCAAGAGAAAGAATCCTTTCTCTGCCACACAATATATACAAATACATACCTAAAACCCTAAGAGTACACCAAATACTACTCAAAGCAAGCCTTTCAACTTATCAAAAAAAATGTGATCTTACCGTCATTCCTCCCAAGGCCTGCCAATGGAAGGTCAGGAGGTCGACATGCGGTGGCACAACCACTACGTAGCCCAGGGCATATTTATTCACTGTTCCGTTCTGGACATACCACAGCTGGGAACTCACACCTGCAAGAAGAAGTTTATGCTTGGTTATTTTCTGTTACGGTTATTCTTTAAAGCAAATACCAGGCAACATCCAGGATACGTGTAAATGTTTTTGTTATATATCTTCTTTATTCCATATTATACATCTCTTATACTATATATTTTTAAAATATGACTGCCTGAATATATTCTATGAAAGAAAAAAATCCTTATCCTGGGAATAATGCCACACAAAATTCTGATCTGGCCATTAGCGAAATCACACTCACTCACTCACACTCACACTCACTCTTCTCACTCACACTCACACTCACTCTTCTCTGTTTTAGATACTCTCCCTCACTTCCTTTCCTTCTTTCCACTTACATGCCAAGAGTTAAGACAGTTGTAACTGAGAAGCATACTGTAGCACTGTCTGCATGATCTTACTTTGACCTTACTGTATAATAAGCATTAAAATATATGATGGCAAGAGCTTATATAGTTCTTCAAGAGAGCTTCTGCGAGGTCTTTCTGTGACAGTTAGTGCAGGCAACCATCCTCTTCTAGAAAGGCATGTAAACTCCTATACCTGGTCTAGGAGGTTTGGACTTTGTGGATCATGAGTATACATCTCATTCAAAATAGAAAATGAAAATTCTTGGGAAAAATCATGCCATATTTGACAGGCCTGCTACTATCATGAAGGAAAGGTCTGTAAAATATCAAATATGATTCTGCCAAATTTTAAGGCTGTGAGAAAATGTGTTCCTTATGTTGAAGTACAATAAAAAGATAATACACCAGGAGTAAAAGGGGGCAGCATCCCCATCTCTAATAGGAGTTACAGGGGGCAGAACCCCTTGCATATCATATGTGTTTAATCAGCAAGATATCTCCTAATAAAATCATTACTGTCACCATAATCTATCCTGCATTTACACAGCAACTTTCCAAGAATATTTTATGCCCTGCTCTGGGACTGGCTGCCCTTGATCAATATACTACTAAAAATTATAGTACACATCCTGTTTCAATTCATTACCACCAATTTCATCAATATTAACAATATGGAAATTTTTAAGGCTAGGTTTAACTAGCCAGACTTAGCCTTGGTCCCAGAGCCTCCTCTGACTTACACATAGCCTTCTTTCCCAATTAATACAGCTTATGCAAAACTTCTCATGCCACAGGAATTGAAGAGGAAGTAAACCTTTATCGAGTCACCAGATGCATTCCTCTTACCTTGGTTATTTTCAAGCAACTTCATTCTATTCTATTATTTCTTTCTTTTTTTTCCCCTCTTTCACACTAAATTGGTTTACCCAAATTTAACATTCACTCATTCTTGTTACTTGTGCCTTAAAAAATTTTGGTTAGGTTAGATTATAACCTTCTTTTCCAACAAATATGACTTACGGAACACTTTACATGCCACAGGAATTGAATAGGAAGTAAACATTTATCAAGTCACCAGATGCATTCCTCTCAACTTACTGTACTCATACTGGATATCTGTATCACAGTACAACCCACCATAAGATATTCAAAGCCATCTAGGATATTATATTCCAATGTACTGTGTACCAGGCAAAAAAATACCCAATACAATGAAACATTTCTATTACATCACAGCAGCCTGTCTTGCCTCTGATCACAAGACAGGTTTTGAGTGTCATGATGCACACCCTAATTGCCACCAGAAAAGATGACATAGACTTAGTTGTTAAATTAAGTTAGCACTTTGACCGCAGATATTATGCAATGGCTGTAGTGGATGGAGTCACTATGACATAAGCTCACTGAACAGAGATTCTCTTTTTCCAATAGTAGTGACTTCATTTGTTTGGTGTCACTATTATATACAGACACTTAAAGTGAAAGGAAACCTTCACTTTTTTAATGAAATACAAGTATATCCTATTAGGTGCCTAATGTTGTGCATGAAGTACCAAACAAGCTGGATGCAAACGGGACATTGCCGATGCAGATTTTAGTTGTTTGGTCAAGTTAGTTATAGTTAGGTTAGGTCTGGTTAATTCACTGTGGTTTAATCTGGATCCAGAGTACATTCTCAAGTAGTATTTAATATTTTTTCTGGAAACCAGTAGGTTTAAAATCTCAAAATCTTGGTTTCTAACAAAAATAACCAACTTCTTCCATAACAATGCAAAGTCTATTAGGCTAAATTTCTAGAATTAGTTACAATTCTTTATAACCAATCAACTTTGGTATCAAAGTCCTCCTATCAAGACCTATTAAACAATTATAGTACTAACAGTCAGCAGAATTAGTGAAGAATGCCTGAAAACTCCCATTCTTTGTGCAATGACTCACGACAACATATGTGGCAAGGACTGTTCACCTCGCATGTCTCTGCCTTTGACAAGTCATGACAGCACCCACATAACTCAGACCTATTCTGGCTCTATCATACTAATCAGATATGCTGTAAATGTTGCACTCCAGGCAGGGAGCTGGGGTGCCACTCTCATATGGGGGAGGGTGTAGTTGCAGCAGGCACAGCTCCCACACAATAACAAACACACAATAACAATACACAACCCAACCTTGCCTACAAGTAATACAGACCATTAGAAATCTATCAATTACAAATCGTGATGAATGTTTAGATACAGATCGAAACAAGAAACGTATCCCTACTGAAAAGAGCAGACAGCAATGCCAATTTCTGGGTGGACACGAAGGGGATTTTCACGTAGTTCCCCAGAGAGTGAACCCCAACATAGGCCAAAATACCAATAATCCCCATCCTAAATTAGGTTCTAGATCAAGATATGGAAGGAGAACAACGGAACTGGTGATAAAAAAATACTGAACAACTACACCTCGAGGGAGTATTTAAATGACCTACCAGATTAAGATACGAAAGGAGAATAACAGAACTGGTGAAAAAAATACCCAAACAATTACACCTTAAGGGGTATTTAAATGACCTACCAGATTAAGATACGGAAGGAGAACAACGGAACTGGTGAAAAAATATCCGAACAATAACACCTCGAGGGAGTATTTAAATGACCTTTACACTTTAATGGGTATTAAATGACCTACCGAGGAGTTTCTTGACGTCGTCCGAGTCGACATAAAGGTTGAGCGACGACGAACACTGATCAACCACCGCCATCACCACCAGCACAAAACACAACCTCATTTTAGACAAACATGGGTTACATCTACACTCCGGAGGTCACTATCACAGGAAGGGACGCTCATGGGAGAGTATGGACGCCTCTATCACAACAAAGTTCTAAAGGCAACAGGAACGCCTTGTCTTTCGCCAGACGCCATCATTATTTACATCCTTTGTCCGATTTGCTTGTCGAGTTTGGCACCAGATTCCGGTTTTTTTTCAGTCTTTTTGATGAAATCGCGTATGTTCAGGCTTTATCTTATAGTTCATGGGGAGGAATTATTAAAAAGGTGTATGAATGCGTCTTAAACAAGAATATTATAAAGACAATGGAAACGCCTTGTCTTTCGCCAGACGATTTTATTATTTACATCCATTGTTCGATGCGCTAACTAAGATAATCATGATGTTATGAATTTTTATAATTGTGCATAAAAATCAGATTTTTCGGGTATTTGATGTAATTCCATTACTTTTTTGCTGCACAAAAATTAACGAAGCCGAAGTCAGTGACATGTTCGAACCTAATGTTGTAAACAATCAAGAATTTGTCGTTTTCTGTTTTCTGTCGACCTCCGTTTTCTTTCCCGTAAATAGGATAGACCAAACTATTTTTTTAACTCTAAATTTTATTCTACCTTTACATTTGGACTGTAATACTGAATGAGCGCGCTTACTTTCTATATCATATTTTTTTCGTTTATCCATTTCCTATTTCGTAAAGGAACTTTGTAAGATACATAAATTCATAAATCACAAAGGATTAATCAAACGATGTTAATGAATATATTGCAAACAACGTGCTGGTTGGAGATCAATTAAAAAAAACAATAACGTTATTGTAACATTTGCCTAAACATTTTTTTTTACTATGGATCACATACATCCATTTAAGTATTCAATAAGAAACAGAGCAAAAGAAAATATTGAAATAAGTATTTATAAAATATGTAAAAATATATATATATACGATTAGAAAATGCTAGATTACTATTATATAAAAATAACGATAATGAACTCCCAATTTCACGAAACAAACATGAAAATATTGATTTTGTTTTAGATACTTGATCAATATTTCACCAGCGCAAGAGTGATCAGTGATCAACATGCAGATACAATCATTTATAATGATTTAACAAGGCTATGAACATCACTTGTCTCATAAGGGAATATTTGAGGCCTTAGATCGAGATAGACCTTGGGGCGATACAGGTCCAAAGGAGAAAAAAACTCAAAGAAAAAAGAAAACACACAATAGCAGAAAAAAATACAGAATTGCATCTGGATCAGCTAATTAGAATTTGTTCATGTCTATTATACGTAGTCAAGGAATAGACCTCAGGGGAGAAAGAAAGAGAGAGAGAGAGAGAGAGAGAGAGAGAGAGAGAGAGAGAGAGAGAGAGAGAGAGAGAGAGAGAGAGAGAGAGAGAGAGAGAGAGAGAGAGAGACAGAGAGAGAGACAGACAGAGAGAGAGACAGACAGACAGACAGACAGATAGACAGACAGGCAGGCAGATAGACAGACAAGCAGACAGACAGGCAGGCAGACAGACAGACAAGCAGACAGACAGACAGGCAGACAGGCAGGCAGACAGGCAGGCAGACAGACAAGCAGACAGACAGACAAGCAGACAGACAGACAAGCAGACACACACACACACATACAGAAAGAGAGAGAGAGAGAGAGAGAGAGAGAGAGAGAGAGAGAGAGAGAGAGAGAGAGAGAGAGAGAGAGAGAGAGAGAGAGAGAGAGAGAGAGAGAGAGAGAGAGACAGACAGACAGACAGACAGACAGACAGACAGACAGACAGACAGACTGAATGACTGACTTTTAAGGTTGTACATACTCTTACTTTTCTAATTATCAACGCTAATCAACGTGACCCTCCATATGAGTACCCTGGATTAAAGACAGCCTTATTGTGCCACGTAGATCCTCCTCAATACATAGAGTTCAGCGCATCAACTCTGTGTTGTACTGATCAACACAACGAGTCATATATATGCACTGATTAGTCAAACTGGTTTAATACACGCAGGGAAGATGAATTTTTCTGCCATATCAACATGAACTGATATCTGTTATATTTTATACCTGGGATTGAGCAGAGACAGAGACAGCGTGTTGCTCTTGTGGGGATCTCTTTATTACTGAGGTTACGCGGTACAGACAAATTACATAATACCTTAGGGCACGTGATAGTCGGTGCCTAGACTAGTTACAATATACAGACTTGACCGTTAGCTTGCAATATACAACAATATCAACATATCAACATGCTGAGGGGTCGAAACTCTTACTCTACCCCCTCCCGATTAATATGTTAATATTGAAGTTCTACTTAACGGTACATCAAATACAAATGCAACATCGAAATCTTCAGTAGGCTTACTGACGGTCATAGACGTTTCTGTGTTCTTACTGTTTTGCGGAATGCCAGAATGTGACTGTCGCGGTTTCACTAAAGTTTCTTGAATTTAATCATGTTAGGTTATTCGGGTCATTTCTAACAGGTATGGCACTAAGATCTAAATAAGATGCAGAGATAAACTAGTATGTTGGAAATCGATTGTATAAGACGAGTGTAAACATAACTGCATCTATTTATATATGTATTCATTATAATAATAAAAAAAAAAAAAATAGTAGCATCGTATCCTATCGATAAGTATTAAGTGTCGGACCAAAATTCTTCAAAGCCTATCATTGCAAATGGCTTCACGAATACCGTGGAGTTCAGGGTGGCATACAACCCCCAATTAACTTCCCCCCCCCCCCTGATTTTTTTGCAACATACCAAGCTGTGAAGGCGTAATGTACTTATTTGATTTTTCTACATCTCCATATACACCTCCCTGACAGGCCAACCCACCCCCCGTGCAATTTCTCTAAAATCCGGTCCTTCATGGTCAGTCATCGGTAGGATTGTTGGGCCAGCTTTATTAAGGACTGGCTGAAATAGAACATGATTTCGGGAAGAAGTTAAAACAAGGCTAGGGAGATAGATGGTACTCTTTTCCAGGAATAAAGGAACAGAAAATCTGGACGGGTAAAGAACGGTACAAATAGCCATTATTATCATTATAATTATATTAATGGTAATAATAATAATAATAATGATAATAATAATAATAATAATAATAAAAATAATAATAATAATAATAAGTAATAATAATGATGATAATAATGATAATGATAACAATTATTATCACCATTATCGTTATTATTATTATCATTTTTATTGTTATTGTTATTATCATTATCATGATGATAGAGATGATGATAATAATAATAACAATAGTAATAATAATAATAATAATCATCATCATCATCATAACAATAATTACTTTTATCATTATCATTATAATATTAATAATAATAATAATAATACTTACAATTTCTATTATCATTATCGTTATCATAATAATAATGATAATGATAATAATAATAATAATAATAACAATAATAATAATAATAATAATAATGATAATAATAATAATAATAATAATAATAGTAATAATAGTAGTAATGATAATGATAATGAAAATAATGATAATAATAGTAATAACAATAATAATAATGATAATAATAATAATAATAATAATAATGATGATGATAATAATAATGATGATTATGATGATGATGATGATAATAATAATAATAATAATAATAATAATAATAATAATAATAATAATAATGATAATGATGATTATGATGATGATAATAATAATAATAATAATAATAATAATAATAAGCATGATATAACAACAATAATAATAATAATAATAATAATAATAATAATAATAATAATAATAATAATAATAACAAAACAACAACGCTAACTACCAATTACAACAAAGGATAATGACAAATCACAGTAATAACACAAACAGACGAAAAAGGGAACAAAACGAAAAAAAAAATGACTTTCCGAATGCCAACGAAATCGCTCGAACAATTTTGAAACCCGACGTTTGTTTACATGAGGAGGGCGATCACGTGCGAGGCGCAGTGGAGTCAGAATTTCAAGTATTTTCTCGTAAAAAAAAGGAAATATCAGTCTGGAAGGGCGTAGAGGAGTAAGGAAGAGGATAGGAAAAGAAGAGGATTTGATAAAGGAGGTAAATGAGAGAAAAAGGGATAGAAGTGGGTTGTTTTAATGTGGCTGACTAAGCAATGGCAGGTTTTTTAAGATGGTTTTTGAGTCGTCTGTGGATATTTTTTAAATGAATGTTATTGTTTCTTTTGGTTTAGGAACGTGTTTTTTTATTAATGAATTGATTAAATGAGAGTGTGATCGTTGAGATGAGGTTCAAGTTCTTAAAACAGTTAAATGACTCGGTTATTCTAGCAAGAGAGTGTTTGTTTTTGTGATACTTGGTGCAGTTATTAGCCAGAGAAGCAGTGTTTTTAAGGCATTAAAGGTAATTATAGGCGTAATTAATGGATTATAGTTAGTGGAGTTAGTGGAGTGTCAGTGTCAACTACACTTACCTTGATAACCTTTGCCACTCAGGCTTCAGGAATTGCTTGACAGTTTACTATTTTAATTATGTTATCGTCATCACTGTTGATGGTTTCCATGGTATTTGTTAATGAGAGTGACACACCCTCCAGAGACCAAATCCCAAAACCAGATTTTTTTTATATATTTCCTCAACCCAGTGGTTTATTCACACATTTGAAAACATTGGGTTATCATGTGAACTCAGAAATCCAAACCTAACCTTTCCTACCGTCTATTTATACCCTAGAAAGCCCCTCTATATTAGCACTTCCTACCAAATTATAGAAAAGGGACTAAAAAAAAACTCACCCTCAGTAACATTAACTATTTCCAAGGACATCATGAGCAATCTGTTGCAGCTAGAATCATTAGTGTGTGTATCCTCCAAGCCTTTAATGAAAAAATGCTGCTATGTTGTTTTCTATTTGATATTTAAGTTTATAAATTGTAAAGATAGTTTGACAGAATGTTCTTTTTTTTTCTTCTTGGATAACACTCTTTTTAATTGTTTGAAGTAATCATGAATATGTCCTTCGAGTATGTACTTTTTAGAGTAATTCTTATTGTGTTTAATGCATAAGAATGTAATATTAGAAACATGTGATCAGGGTCATTTTGCGTTTGGTATATTCCTTTTCTTTTTAGCAATTGCTGTGTAGTCAGGTGCTTGACCATACATCAGAAGTGTCATTTTATTGCAGGTAGTTGACTAACATCTTGCTGAAGAAATTGTTGCAGAAAAAAAATGTCAAACTCTGATGTAGCAGAAAGTGATGGCGGGAGTTTTGAAGAGAGCAAGGAAGAGCAACGCGCAAGCAATGTGAATGAACAGTGCTCTAATACTGAATCTGACGTAAAGAAGACAAAAAAATCACAGATGACAGATCTCAGGAAGTATAGCACTGAACAAATTAAGGTCATGAAACCTTCCAAGAATCTTGATAGTTCCTTTAAGAACATGAAAATAAGTGACGCAAGTTTTCTCAATGACTTAGATGGCCGCAGTGCTTGTTCGGTGTGTGGGAAGTCTAGGAAATATTTTTGTTACACGTGTCACATTCCACTGGCCAATATAGCAGACAAGATTCCCAAACTCAGGGTAAGTTTGCTTGGTTTTAGGCTATGATTGTAAGTTCTTGTTTGTTTAAAAGTGTCTTGGAGTGTCGGTAACAGCAATAGAAGTTACATTTTTGAGCATGTACTTACAGCTGCCATGCAAAGTGGATGTGATAAAGCACCCTAGGGAGATTGATGGGAAGAGCACAGCAGTTCACGCAGCGGTTATTGCTCCAGAGGATGTACAAATCTACACCTACCCAGACATCCCAGACTACTCTAATGAAGGGAATGTATGTATTTTTTAAAAAATATGTTTGTGATTTTTTAGGTTTTATATACAAGCTTTTATTTGGTACCTGAATTGGCTAGTTTCTTGATAGAATAGGTTTACAGAAGTAGGTT